ATTAGAAATATTCTCACCAAAAATGTTTAGTAAAATAAGTACCAATACTTAAAAAGTAAATTCTAGTAATACAAAAAATAATTTTCCAAGGATGTCAGAAGAATATCTAAATACACAAAGTGATTAGTACAAACTGACAAGTATATATGAGGATGAAAATCTGCCCAATCCCCTTGAAGTTACAATGTACTGATGTCCTTACATTCACTACCTTTTGTCAAGCAAGGTTAAAAACTCATCAGATAAGAATAGGTAAGGTGGACTATAAATATAAAACAATAAACATTACATTTTAAAGAACAGATAGAAAAATCCCTATGTTTGTGTCATTTACATGTTAAAAAACAAAGAATTAGAGGAATATAATTATATAATTATAATTTTAATCCAATTTATGTCACTTAGAATACTGCTAAATCATACTTGGAGACTTTAGGAAATGTTTCATCCTCACATTTAACTCTAGATTACCTGGACAAACTGTTGGCACATAATAGAGCTGTAAAATAGGGATAAAACCACCTGTGATCACATATGGGAATTATGAGAATTAAATGACACAGTACAAGCAATTTGAAGAGCACCTGGAACATTGGTATTTCTCTTTCTCCATTAACTGATCCCAGATTTAACTGATCCCAAATCAATAAACTAGGAAAAAATAATTGGGAGGTAAGCTCTAAGATAAGCCTCCATGAATGGTGTATTCAGAAATAACTTCTGAACACTCTAATTTTCAGAAAAAATAAACCATTTTTCCAAATTAACCAAAAACCCTAATGCTATCTAAACAGTGAGAGGAAAAAGTTTAAGAATACAAGGAAAATGGATTAGATTATCAAAAGTTTAGATCTCTATGTATCATATACACTCTCTTTATAATGAGGGCCTTTTTGGTCTAATTTTTGATGTAGGCTTGCCTAAATCACTCAAGGTTTGTCCACAAGCCTGGAGAATTAAAAGGTAGGAAAAAAATGAGCAAAAGGGTATATTTAACATTTCTGAACTATCCAACAATAGGGAAAAGGAAATAGAAACAAGAAAGCTAATAAACGTCTCTATATATTTACTTTTGAGTTGATTTGCATTCCTTTTGAAATGTCTACTCTATTAAAGAAAATATAAATGTCAAAACCACGTAAGTTGAGGTGCATTTTTCATATAAATGTAAACTAAAAAAAAATAGTTGCATATGAAGCTGGTGCCACAACTACAAAGAGAAAATTATTTCAGGTAACCTTGGGTAACAGCAATTTAATTATACATCCTTAGTGATTATACATTCTGGGACAAAGAAGGAAGCAGAAAAATCGTAGTTTCATCTAGCAGTCTTGTTGTTGGCATTAACATTGGTCTTACTACTTTCAAACTATTGTGTGTGTGGTGTATATAAGTCTGTTTTGTAGAATAATGAAAATAAGTAATCATGTTACTGTTTTTAGTATTTGAGAACACAGGCAAGTAGAAAAATCAAAGCAGCTAAGTAAAGAGTCCTGTAATGTTAAATTTGCTTCATAAATAATGTATATTTATACTTTTTTCTTTTTGAAATATGTCTTTTCTAGTTTTGTCGGCTGAAAATTCCTAGATTCAATGAAAATCCAAGAGCAAAAATAAGAATCTAGCTGTCAGATTGTGGTCTCTATACACTATACCCCATGTGGAAAAATGGCTGATTCTCAGACTGGAGCAGTAAGACACAAGATTAGTCTGGGACATACTGGGCCAAAAAGATTAAAAGCTCGCAAAAATTAATGTAGTCAACTCAAAAGGATAGAGAAGCTAAATGAAAGGCCTCTTACTGTTCCAAGATGAAACAATGTGAACTTCAAAAAGAAAAATGAATGCACATGATTGGAAATAAAAGCCCATTTACCCATAAACACTACAGAAGCTGAAGGAGAAAAAGGAAGGGGAGAGGGGACAAGGGAGAACAAAAGAAATAAAGAGAAATCCTTTCCCCTCTTTAGTCATTGGATATTATCATTGGAAATAACCACAGACCTAACTTGTTACTCTGAAGGATGGCAGTTAACAGAAAGATATAGCATCTACTCTGGCTTTCCTGTACAAGCTGTAGTTCAAGGTAACTAAGTACCATTAGATGATAAAATAAATATTTTCTCCTAAAAAAAAAAAAAATTCTGTAAGAAATGTGGAAGGAATCACAGATTTAGAAAGATCACTACTTTGCAACTTATGAAAAATAGATTCAAGCAATGATGATCAATGAATGAAATAACAACAGGAAAACTGAAGGGGAACTTTTTAAATGACCAGGTCCCACCAGCTGATTACTCTAATCCATCTTAATATCATTAAAAATGGAACAAGAAACTAAGAGTGAACCATAACTATGGACTCTGAGTGATGATGGTGTGTCAATGTAGGTTCATCAGTTTTAACAAATGTACCACTCTGGTGGGGGATGTTGATAATGGGAGAGGATGTGAATATATTGGGCAGTGGATATACAGGAAATCTCTGTACATTCTACTCAACTTTGCTGTGAACCTAAAACTGCTTTATAAATAAAGTCTATTTTTTAAAAAGTGGGACCAGAGGTCACTGCATGGCTACTGATGTGATGTAATATCAAATATAGCATTTCGTTTGTAAAGTATTTTTCTTTTTTTTTTATCCTAGCAATACTGTTTCCAAGAATTAATACTGAGAAAAATGATTGAATAGGCTATGGCCACATACAATGAGTGTGAATGTGTTGCAAGGTGGACTTTCTTACATTAGAAAATAGCTGGAAGTAGCCTAGGTATCCAGTAAGAGGGGATTGATTAAATTAGTCCCAAAGCCCCTTGTGATGGGACTAAGGCCACCATTAATAATGATGGTGTTTGTCTCCGTTTTTTTAAAGTAATAGATTTTTATAGCAGTTTCTAGTTTACAGAGAAATTAAGCAGAAAGTACAGACAGTTCACATACTCCATACATACACAATTTCGTCCATTAACATTTAGTTTCTCCTATTAACATTTTACATTAGTGTGGTACATTTGTAACAATTATGTACCAATATTGATACATTAAATTTTACACAATGAATTCCTATTTGTGAGACAGAAATCCACTTCTATGGTTTTTGGCCAAATGCATGTCACGTATTTATCACTAAAATATTCTTGTGAAAGAAACTGAACCGAATCTAAGTGAGCCTTTGGTGCTAACTTCTATTTCACAGGAAATGTAAAGAGACAGAACAAATTCAATTAAAGAAGCAAAAAACCAAATCCATTATTTGAGATCTTGTATATAGAACTGAACTGTTTCTTCGAAAAGTCATGAAGGATTAAAAAAAGAAGGGGGTTTGGGCAGGACTGGTCTAGATTAAGACATTTAAAAAAAAGCAAAACAAAAACCACAAATATGATGTGAGGGTCTTCTTTGAATTTTGACTAAAATAAAGCAATTATAAAAAGACATTTTGAGACAAGCAAATATGAATAAGGGCTGTCATGTGACGCCATTAATTTTTTTAGAAATCGTCTAACAATGCAATTTGTCTAAAAACTTTCAAAATAAAAAAACTAACAATAATTTACAAGAATGAGAGCCAATACACTCATGCTACCATGATTAAAGAAAATTCTACAAGTAGAAGACTCACATGTTGGTACTACTGGTGGAATCGTAGGCGGTGGTACAACAGGTGGGGGAACTGGAGGAGGCATGAAACCTATGTGGGAAAATAAAATAAAATAGCACAAGAAAAATTACTTGCTTTGAATCAAAGATTTCAATAGACATACATGAAATTCCACATTCTTAAAATGGTCTTTTATTACTACAACCTGACACTTGTATATTCATTTTCTATTATAAAAATGGCATTTATATATGTTACCTTATTTGATTTCTAGTAAGCTAGGTAAAGCAGAGAGATCCTAATCATAAGCTCATCATATTTATTTATTCATTTAAGTCCTGTGGCATGCTCTATGATGCTGTAAAACCAAAGTTAACACAAGACAGGTAACCTGTTTATATATTAGGACAGCAACTGCATAAGAGTTAAACATTATATTTCAAGCTACTGACTGCATTACATGCAATAATGTCATCTGTCAAATGTGTCACTTTATTTCTTTGATATATACATTGTTTACCCACTAGATCAAAATATTTTCATTAACCTTGAATAATACTATATTATGTTTTGAACACTGGAATAAATCTTCATAATATTAAATGATCAAATTATAAATCTACTTCTTTACATTTTTTAAATATAGAGCCACCATTAAATTCAATTAGAAAATGCTGGTTAAAAATAAGGAAAAAAGGGCCGGCCTGGTGGCACACTAGGTTGAGTGCGGCGCTTGGGAGCGCGCCGCCGAGGGTTTGGATCCCATATAGAGACTGGTCCGCTCACTGGCTGAGCGCGGTGCGGGCGCGACACCGAGGGTTGCGATCCCGTTACCGGTCACAAAAAAAAATAAATCTTCATAATATTAAATGATCAAATTATAAATCTACTTCTTTACATTTTTTAAATATAGAGCCACCATTAAATTCAATTAGAAAATGCTGGTTAAAAATAAGGAAAAAAGGGCCAGCCTGGTGGCACACTCGGTTGAGTGCGGCGCTTGGGAGCGCGCCGCCGAGGGTTTGGATCCCATATAGAGACCGGTCCGCTCACTGGCTGAGCGCGGTGCGGGATAAATAATGACATAATGTGGTATAATTTTTGAAATAATCATTTAAAAACTTCCAAAATAAATTTTAATTTTCAAATCACAAATACAGAAAATATTTGACAAGAGTAATTTTTCAACATTGAAAATATTAAAAATAAAATTATTAAAATCTGTGTCAATTTCAAATTATGTATTAAACTGCAATTTAAAAAGTTTACATTACATGACAAATAAATTACAACATTCTCAGGTGACAAATTTACTTTCTAGTCTTGTTGACAGTTTTTAGGAACTCTATCCCAATGGCTAAGAACTTATATTACAGAAATCAAGGTACTTTTTTTCTTATAACATGCAAATAATTCATGAAGTTCAATTTTGAAATATTTAATCCCTTGCATCTCTTCCCTCACTGTTCTAGTTCTAATCTCCCATGGTTTGATATTAAAAGCTCTATCTCAAACTATATAAGAATTACATATATTTAATTGATAAGATGTGTATTTAAGTAATCTATAATTTTTTCCTGGAAACAATGATTCAAGGAACTTTTGTTTATCAAGAATTAGGTAAAAAAAAGTATTTAATTCACATTTTAATATAAAATGTCAAAATGGAACCTGCTGATTTTTAGGAGGGACAATCTATAGAACTGAATGCAAACTCTGTGATGAAAGAGTGATAATTATAGAGAACTTTCACATAAAAACTTCAACATAAATTTTGTATTATTTTAGGAGTAATGATTTTCAATGATGTTAAAGGAATTCCATTCTATTTTCTGTGAGTGCTTCTCCCAGCAATCTGCATTCTGGGAATGTGTTGGAAATGAAAACTCTCTGTCTCCACCACAGACCCAATTAATGGAGCAAAACCTCTGGAGGCTGGGCCCAACAATCTGTGCTTTAACAAATCATCCAGGTGATTCTGAGGTATGCGAGGGTCTGAGAACTACTGCTCTATGGCACTTAAACCTGGAAAAAAACACATCTTTAATGATATTCTTTTTTTTTTTTTTTTTAAAGATGACCAGTAAGGGGATCTTAACCCTTGACTTGGTGTTGTCAGCACCACGCTCACCCAGTGAGCTAACCGGCCATCCCTATATGGGATCTGAACCTGTGGCCTTGGTGTTATCAGCACCGCACTCTCCCGAGTGGGCCACGGGCCGGCCCTTTAATGATATTCTAAACAGAGTCCAAACAGTAAGAAAATTTCTTACCAGGAGGTGGTTGTGAAGGGTTAAAACTTGCTCGTAGAAAAGGAGGTGGAGGAATTGGACTGAACCCAGGAGGAGGAACCGGCATTGACACAGGAAACGCTGGTGGGACTAAACTAACTGTAGGCACGGCTGGTGCTACTGGGATCTTTGGTGGATAGAAAAAAAAAGTCCATTAATCAGTTTATTCACCTGCAACGATTACATCTTGGAAAAAGTAAAGGTAAATTATTTCTATTTCTTTAAGAAAGAAAGTAAATACCACTATATTAAGTTTTTTTTCTTTTTTGTATACTTGTGAGTGAACCTACTTAGAGCAAAAGCAAGGCAACATTATAACAGTTTACTTGGAGATTGTGAAATCTATAATATATTCAAATGTCATAAAGTAATGGTCACCTAATTGAATACTTAATACCATATTCAATTTTAATCTACCATCTCCCACTAAGCTATATAATACCTATCTATGTCATGCAACCAAGCCACCACTGGGAATCATGTCAATAATAGATTTAGAATGGCTCAAATTCCTCATAAATTTATTTTTTAATCCCACCATGAATATCCTTTACTCATCCTACGTACAAAAAGTCCCAAATATTTATCTGCACCATAGCTTAACCTCTCTCTTGAACTTCACATTTTTTATCAAGTGCTGTTCAACATCTCAACTTCATTGTCTAAAATATACTTCCTACTTAACATGTACAAAACAACTGAATTTCCCATTGTCTTTCCCAAAAGGACTCTTTCCAGTCTTTCCCATTCTCAGACAATAGAATCCCCATCTTTCCAAATTTTCAGACCAAAAAGCTTGCCTTTGCTTTTTCTCACAACCCCAAATTCAGTCATACCAGAAAGTCCCACTGTTCCTATCTGATGACTTCTTATCACCTCCACTGCTATTCTGAGCCACCATCATATCTCAGCAGGATTGCTACAATTGTCCTTCAACTGGTCTTCCTTTTATCAATGCTCACTACAGGCTAGTCTCAAACTGTTAAGTCAGATCAAGTCACTTCTCTGCTCAAAATCCTCTAATGGCTCATCTCATTTAGAGTGAAAACCAAAGTCCTTAGATAGATTTATCTTCAACTAACTGGCCTCTCACTCCCTTTACCCTAGCCCACTTAACTATTCTTAGAACCCACCAAGCATGTTACTGGAATAAGGCTTTTGCACTAGTTGTTCCCTCTTCCTGGAATCTCTTCCTCAGATATCCACATGGTTAATTCTCTCATCACCTTTAAGGTGTTGCTCAAATTTCACATTCTCAATTAGGTCTACCCTGACCATTCTATTTAAAATTGTAAGCACCTATCCAGGCATCCACAACCAGCCTTACCCTATCTTTTTCCTTCCACAGGATCTCAAAATTCTATTTATTTTATATTTTGTCTCCCATGTTGAGAACAAAAGCTCCAAAAGGGCAGGGATTTGTGGTTTTTTTTCACTGATGTATCCCTATCCCAAGTGCCTAGAAACAGTGTATGTCACAGATCTGGCACTCAATAAATATCTGTTCAATAAATAAATATATTTAAATATGACACCATTTTCAAAAATAATTTTTAAAAAGTGTTTGACTAAACTCATTAATATATCTTATTGTTCTGTCAATTTGACTTCTTAAAAAAACATGAATCTAAAGAAAACAGTCATGCAAGTTCCTACAGGCAATACTTCCATATTTACCTTCATTTTAAACCTAATGAGTTTATCACAATATCACATTTTGTGATAAAAAAAAATATTTAAGAGATTAAAAAAAAATTCTTTTACCTAGTAGTACTGACAAACATTCATTCTAATTTGGACAATTTCCTCCAAGTTTTATAAAGTAAATACATGAGTAAAAACAGAAAATGTAAACAAACACATTTTAAAAAATCACTCAGCACTAACCTGCAACATAGCAACAGGTGGAGGGAAAACCTCTGCCTGGGTTGTGACCACTGTCTCCTTTTCAACTGGAGTTGGACTCTGAGTTGTCTGGACCGTCTCTTTAACAGGTTCTGAGCTTTTCACAGTTTCCCATTCTAAACAAAATATTTGAAATTGATTTCCTTTGGATAGGTGCAACTTTTCATTTTTTTTTTCATTTTTTTTCTAGGTCTATGTTTACTTCACATCCAAGTCCCTCATCTACCTTGGCACATCTTTAAGATATATCCACAACTGTAGGTGCCACACTAGATTTTTGCCCAGATAAATCTGTCTAAGAATACTAAGGAGTCCAAAAGAGCATCACACGAGACACAAATGAAGTACACTACATTTAGACTAAAGAAAACACTTAGAAGGGATATAATAGATACATATCTCAAAGGCTGTCTGATATCAAAGCAATCACCTTATTCTATATTTTTATCACAAGGTACAACAAAGGAAGACCAACTAGAAAAGTATTAACCCAATACAGAAAAATCCTTCTGAAAATACAGCTACGCAAAAATAGAACAAAAAAGCTCTAATGGTTCCTCCAACAGTTCTCCATCTCATTCAGAGTAAAGATCAAGTTAAGACTATTAAGATGCAACTTTGCCCCTTGTACCTCTCTGCCTTCATCTCCTACTACTCACTCCTCATTTACCTTGTTCAAGCTATACTGGTCTCCTTGTTTTTTAATACCGACTTTGCACTTAACTTCTCCCTGTGTATGGAATGCTCTTTGCCTAGATAGCTGCATGTCTCACCCCTTCAAATATAACTCTCTCCATCAGACCTTATACACTCACTAAAAAACTGCAATACCTCCACACCTTCACTGTCCATCCCCCTTCCCTGTTTATTCTTCTTAGAACTCATCAACACCAAAATACTATATAGTACAATTTATCTACTTCTTTCCACTAGAACGTAGGTTGGAAAACTTTTTCTATAGAATTATTTTAGGCTTTGCTGGCTACATGTTCTCTGTTGAAACTATTCAATTACTATTACAAAAAAAAAGTCATATAAAATAGTTACACAAGTGAGGGTGGCTGTCTTTCAATAAAACTTTATTTGCAGAACAGGCTACCAGCAGGATTTGGCTGATGGGCAGTAGCATGTCAATCACTGTGCTATATACAAGAGGAAGGATTTTTATCTATTTGTCTCACTACTATAATTCTAGTTTCTAAAATTAGGCCTGACACACAGCAGGAATTAAACTATTTACTGAAGGAATGAATGTCCTGGAGAAAGAGCCATCAAAGATTGGGGTGGCATGGGGAACAAACTGACAGAACCCATTTTTTAAAAAGTTTAAAAATATCTGCACTGGCCTGACAACCAAAATATTCCAAAACTTAGCTAATTTTGATAAATGCTAAGATGTGAAGAAATACATATCAAATTTCTTTCCCAAATATCAATTTTAAGATTTCTTACTGATTATAATTGTCAATCATTTTGTGAATTTATAACTGGAATTTTTTAAAATAAAAAGACAAATCTTTAAAAAAGAAAAGGCTGGGATGATCATTTGGTTATAGGTATTCTAACACGTCATGAATCTGAACGAGAGCTCCCTAAATTACAGTTCTATTTCTGCTATTCTCAACATGGATACTATTCAAAATAATCTGGAGAGCTTTTCAAAGAGGCTTCCCAAGTCCCCAATTCCCACTTAAACTTAAAAAGTCCTCTATATATACAACTCTGTCTTAAATATCAACACCATACATGAAAAATACTACATTTACAGACTTCTGTCTATACTTTTCTAATCTATACTTTGACACCTATGAAATAGGACCCATTAAAGCATGTATATCGGACACATTCATGTTTCTTTTCTTTTCATTTTTTCAGATGAATCCAGGAAATAAAATATACACTGAAAACCCATTTCAATTAAAACCTAACTTTTTTAAACAACGAAATGGCGTTAGTGTTCTTACCAGTATTTACAGTCTCCTGATCAATCATGCCTCCTTCTGCAAAACCTTCCAAGTCATCCACTTTAACTTTTTCCCATGGTATATAAGTGACTCCAAGATCCACATCCCAGAATTGTTTATATTCTGTTTTTACACCTTTGTTTAAAGCCCAAGCAATCTATTGTGAGTGGGAAGAGTAAAAAAGGCAGCTCAAACACATACTGTAAAACAAGGTAAAAAGCTCAAAATTATATTTAAATAATATAAATACAAATCAAAGTAGTTTCAGAAAATAGTTAAATGAGCAAAGCTAGAAGACTAACAGTGGACAAATTTCTTTCCATGAATTTTCCATTTTTGTTTTTAAAATAAAACTTGCATTGGATAGAGACAATGTTTACAATATGGGATTCATTTCCACTTCTTGTTTTAACTCTAAAACAATACATTTCCAGTGACAACCCAAATCTACTTTTCACCATAAAAATGTCAACCTATATTAGTGATAATTAGGACAGTTATTATAATTTAAACAAAATCTTGTACTCCAGGAAAGAGGAGACGAGTGATCTTTGGCTTACACAGAGAAACTCTGCCATAAAATGACAAAAGATGGGCATACATTAACCCCCTTAAAAGAAATTACTTTAAAGGTTTTAATTCAGTTACAGAAACTGAAAAAATAAATTATCTCCAAATAGCAGAAATGAAACTGTGTATTACTCACAAAAGTAACAGAAAAATACTCAATAAATTCTCAGTTTAAACACTAAGAAAATTAAATCATGCTAACTGATAATCCCTTCACAAAGGCCTGGTTTGTATAAGATTAAAAAAACCAGGAGAAATCAATTAATATAATTAGGTGGTATAATTAGGAAGTGCTGGGAGAAAAGAGTAAATAAAAGACAAATTTGTAAAAGTGAAAAAATTCTGCTCATGAAATGGTGCCATAGATGACTCAGAACCGTGGAAGTGTGATTTCAAGAAATTGACTCAACTTTTGGTTATTGGACTTATTTTACCTATATCTAAGCCCGCAAGTCAACAATTCTGAAATAATACAGGGATAGTCTAATAATCCAATAAAACATGAGCATGTGACCTTTTCCTATGAAAAACTTACTCTGAAGTAATAGGCATTGAAATGTTGGCTGCCCCCCCACCTCTCCTGCCACAAAAAATCTTACCTTAATGACCTTGGACCCAATTTTATATGACCCAGAACTAAGTTTCTGAAGAGCTCGAAATGCATCTTGTCGATGAACCATACACACATAAGCACAGCCCCTGGGAGGAATCATCTATTAAAAAAAATTACTTTTTTAGAGAAGGTATAAGGATTGAAATTCATTCTGGCATTTTATGGTTTTAATGAAACAGAATTTTGACAACTAATACTCCAATTCAACTTTGATAGATTACTGAATTGTTTTCCCTTTCTTCCTCCAGATATTTATTGGTACAATTCATATACCAATTACTTAGTGTAAAAACACCCCAAAATTCAAACCCTAACAATGAAGTCTCATTCTAAGCCATGATATATGTGAAATCTCATATATATCACAAGTCAAGGTTTTTTAAATACAAAATAAGGGACTACCAAAACAAAAAAAGAGTGTAACTCCATATATACAATACCACCAGATAAAAGGGAAATAATACTGTATGGCCAAAATATTTGAAGCAAATAATTTATTCCTACTAAATATTTCCAAATGTTATATTGAATAACATGAAGAGGGTTTTTGTTTGGGAGAAGTATCTTTAATATAATATCTGCAATCTATAACAATTAATGATAAAACAAAACTTTTCAATCTTATAAAACTTTAAGTGCTTCTGAACAAAAGTTTCAAGATAAATAGGAAAACAGCATCGGTGTAAGGATATGAGACTAATTTACAAAGCATTTAACTATTCTTTAAAATACCATATTATAAAATTATCCTTAATGTATTAATTCAGAAAACTACACACAGAATTTCAGCTTCTTTTTGAGAAACTCAAAAGACATTCTTTCACTTAACTATTACTCAAGACCTAATGAGCTTTATTTGTCAAAATAAAAGCCTTTCCCTCAGCCTTGCTAACATCTCAAGCTATATCTCTTTGTCAAAATAAAAGCTTTATTTGTCAAAATAAAAGCCTTTCCCTCAGCCTTGCTAACATCTCAAGCTATATCTCTAATCTAACACCAAAGTTCTTAAAAGAGACGTCTATCATCCAACCCCTGACATTCTTTATCTCTTGCAATGTAGCTCCAACTCCTCACCATTCCACTGAAAATATTTTCTTCAAGCTCACCAACATCCTACAAAATACCAAAATTCTCAGTCCTCAAACTCCCCCAAATTAACTAAATGGTTTATGAATTTTCCAACAATTTCACACCCTGGGTTTTACCATTCAGTTCACTTCAGTTCACAAAATAACTTAGTGCCTATTGTTTGCAAGTAGTGTACTTTCAAAAAGCAATACAATAGATGAAAGAGAAGGTGAACAGATTTTCAAGGGACTTTGATACAAGAAAGACTACAAATATGATAAAGAAACCAGAAAATCCAAAATGCTCCTTGGACACAGGGTCTGTTCAAAGCAGTGATTCCTGCTGTGCATCAGAATCACCTGTGTAGCTGTGGCAATATGGTAAGAATTTACAGATATCGAGTATGCGCAGCCAATTTTTTCAAATGTCAAAACAGATTTCTGATATACAAGTAGGGCTGAGAACCATTAGTTTAAGAACAGGAGAAAATGAGAAAAAATTTCAGAAAGAGTATATGATGATGAAAAAAATTCAGAAAGGGTATATGAAAGATAGCTAGGTTTTGACAGGTGAGATTTAAAGACAAAACAGTAAGAGAAGCCTATAAGCACTCTTGTGTTGTGGAAAGAGAAATCTGAAATACTCAACCAATTACCTATTTATTATCTGTGTAACTCAAGCAAATCACTTGGTTTCCTCACTGGAAAATAATGATACTTGAATTACTTAACCAGCTTCTTATGAGGCTCCAATGAGATCATACGTACTTCAAAGAAAATACAAAATGATCAAACCCAATTCAAATGAAGAAGGCTGTTATTAATACAGAAATGTCAAGTTTGGCCATACAAGGAACATTGGGAATTAAGACTAGAAAAAAAAAAACTGAGCAATTTTTTGATAAATAATGATAAAAGGTCCAATAAACATAAAAGTATAACAACGGCAAATGAAATCAGAAGACTAATGAATTGAAAGTTTCCTTAAACAAATAAATGGACTATAAAACATTTCATTACTTAGTTTTATTTCACTACTTGTAATTTATATAAGGGGGGTGAAGACAGACAAGAAAGCATATAATCTGAAAGGATAAGATCAATTAAAATGACTAATTAAGAATATCTGATCTCCAGGAAAAAGCAATAGACCTCAAGAAGAAAATACCCAAAGGAGAATGGGTGGGGCAAAACCAGTGAAAGAATCAAGTTGAAGAGTGAACATTATGCTCAAGTTACTGTTGTTACAGTTTTTCTTGCCTAACATTGGCTTTGTTTGATAAGAAAGAGAGAGCAAGGGAGGGAGGCAGGGGGGAAGAAGGAAGTACGAGTGGGGACTGGCAAGAGACCAGGATCCCATAAGTTGTGTCTCCACCACTACTTATGTGCTCATCATGTGCACGTGATTACAATTCTGTGGGACTGACTCACTTTCCTTATACAGACAGTCCCCAACTTATAATGGCTTACCATTTTTCTACTTTATCATGGTGCAAAAGCAATACGCACTCAGTACTCAGTATGCTCCTAGACTTACGATGGAGTTATGTCCAGATAAATCCATCGTAATTCGAGGAACATCTGTATACAGTAAAAAAAAAAAAAAAAAGAAAGAAATTAAACTACATCATACACAGGGTTCCAGCTAACTCAAACATCTGATGTTTTTAGGAATCAAGCACTTCACTGCTATAAAACCCTAATGATATTTTGTTAGAATTCCATTAAAAAAGTAAAATTAATTAAGGTGATAAACAGCATCAGAGTAGACATAGAAATGATCGAAGTAAGACAATCTTTGTAAGGACGTACATTATTAAAAGGCAGATACTACTGGGCTAATTAGGAACTGAAATGATTCTTTGTATGAGTGAAAACTCTCTATTTTTTTCTTTTTTCTTTACTTTAAACTATTGTTTAAGAACTAACACTTACATTAATGGATTCAATTTGTCCAAACTCTTCAAAAAGGTTGGTTAAATCTTGCTGTGTTGCTTTCTTGTCCACCTGGCCAACCCAGAGAGTAGTACTACATACTGTCAAGATATAAGAGATAAATGACCTAAATCACATAAACACAGTTACTTCTTTCAAGTAGCTGAGGAAAAAAGCAGTAATAATAATAATAACAGATTAGTTTTAAGATAGTGTGTATATTTAAAATACCTGTTAATGGACACTTTATCTGTTACACCTAAATCACATAAACACAGTTACTTCTTTCAAGTAGCTGAGGAAAAAAGCAGTAATAATAATAACGGATTAGTTTTAAGATAGTGTGTATATTTAAAATACCTGTTAATGGACACTTTATCTGTTACATATAAAAATCAACTAAAATCCCAGGTGTACATTCACATTTACGCCAAGTCAACATCTTTCATCTCACATGTGGTTCAAGTGTGGCTATACACTTGAACCAGCCATGGATGCCCAAGTCTCACTCTAAGAGAGCATGACTGGTATGGAGTAAGACAGACTGGGAACGGGTAGCTTTAAAGTTCCCTAGGTAATTCTAATGTGCAACAAAGTCTCCAAAACACTTCTCACAGCAATCCTACCTGTATTTGTAAGTATCATTCTGTGCTGGAATGACTAAGTGGATGTTTCTCCCTAATAACAGATAAATCTGAAAACTATCTTATCCTTACGGAAATAATACTTTGCATGCATATACAAAGGGGAAAAGGCTGAATTAAACCCCTTAAGTTCCTATCACAAAAGGAAGATACTTAGCTGCTGAAAGCTACTTCCCTCTAATAAACAAATGTTAAACATGAGACACTTAGCCTACTTTTAGCTATACTGTACATGTCTGCATGAACAACTTTTACTGTAAGTCATTTATTTTTTAAAAAATATTTACAGCTGACACATTTGCAGACCTATACTTGGATTTATATCCATGTCATTTATAAAATGGATTTCCAGTTTTTTGACTACTTTTTATCTGTAACAGGGCAGGGCTAGAGCAGGTTTTACACTAGAGCTAACTTAGCACCACCCTAAGGTGTGACCCTTGGCTAGATCACACTGAGTGTCCTGGGTTTTCAATGAGGTCTCTCCACTCTGGCTAGTCAGAACTCAAACCTCCCCCCAGACCTGTGAAATCTTCAGGAATCTTTTAGCTAACACAGATCCCTGCTAGTTGTGCTTTGTCTAGTGCCTTCTTACCCCATGTATATATAACTTACTATTCAACTGAAGTCTCAAGGGGCCTGTATTAGTGCTATTAACAAATTAACACAAACTTAAAATAAATTTATTCTCTTACAGTTCTGGGGATCTACAATGTGTAAGCAGGGCTGCACTCCTTCCGGAGGCTCCAGGGGAGAATCTGTTTCCTTGCCTTTGCTAGCTTCTACAAGCTGACTGTATTCCCTGGCTTATGGCTCCATCCTCCATCTTCAAAGCCAGCATCATAGCATTTCCCAATTTCTCTCTCTGTTCATTATCACATCACCTTTTCTCTCTGACCCTCTTGATTCCTTCTCCTAACTTTGTGATTAAATCAGGCCCTAATGGATAATCCAAGTTCATCTCCTCACCTCAAGATCCTTAATTTAAAAGGGAATGCAAAATCCCTTTTACCATGTAACGTACATATTTACAAACTTTAGTGTTTTGGATGTGAACAGCTTTGGGGGGGCTGGGGTGGGGAAAAGCATTATTCAACCTACCACAAACCCGTAACAGATTTCTAGAGCTCTTTCACTGAATAGTTCCCTCCTCTTCATTACTTTGTCCTGCATATTCCAGCTTCCTTAATCTTCCCGAACTTGTTTCCACTATTTTTCCCCCAAGAAAAAAATGATGATTCTCCCCCAGCCCATGGGGACGGGACACTTGTTTCTTGAAATGCTATTGTTTATCAATGCTTTCTATACCCTGAACTGTTCATGAAAACCTTGTGCTCTAAAATCCATGCTAAAGACAAATAGTAGGGAAACACTACCATATGTATTTAAAATGTGTCGAGAGAAAATAGGGACCAAAGGAAATTGATATTGTTTCTGATGAGGACAGTTGCGAAGTAAAGAAGAAAAGATATATTCACTGTATTTACTCATGTGCTTTCTGAATTTTTTTACTGTGTGTTTTACCCAGGAAAATAAATATGTAATAGAAAATAAATTGCATAGTTATTACTATAAAAATAGTGACAGCAACATTACAAGTCAGGCGAGGAACTAAATGAAAGAATCCACATAAAAACTCTAACCTGATATTAGTGAAAAAACTGATGATTCTGAATGTCCTAATGGTAATCATGTGAAAAGGCATAGCAGAAATTTTGTGGTCAGACCTTTGACATTATTTCTTTATCAGCCGGCACTACAATGTTTAAATTCAGTCCTTCACTCTAAGGGTCAAACAGAAACTTCCAGAGCTAGGAATATCAATATTACTAAATTAATATCAGCTCTCATAACCAGATAAGATTCTGGCAAGACAAGACCTACTACAAGCCAAAACTTAGTAAAAAGGTGACTGCTGCCTTTCATTATAGGCCTGGGTTTCCAAGATGCTCTAGCAGTATAAGTTATACCAATTATTTATCTATCTCCCAGGCAAAGGAATTTATTTGGAGACCTTCAAAAATTAGATAACATGATCAATGATTAGCTCTTGGAGAAGAATGACAATTTGCTCTATTTTATGTATTTCTTCACCCATCTGTAGTCTACTAGTTCACCTTAGAAGTCATAACCCACCTCGAGTCCCCTAGGCAGAATCTGCCACTAATTACAAGTTACTTTGCTGTACTTAACATTCCTACCAAGTGAATTCTCTCTCTCCTAGCCTGCTCCTAAAACAAACCCCACCACTATCAAATTTGTTCTAATCATACATAATAGATTTAACATATAAGGAGGGGCAAGTTTGTACAACAGGAATTTATACTCTAGTATTAACCCATAATTTATAATTTGCTTTAAAAATTATAGCAAAGTATATGCTTCATATAATTATTACTTCTACAAACCTGGTACATAATCAGTTAGGGTACTTTGGATAGAAGTCACTGTTTCCATGCTATAGATGCTAGGTAGGTGTGCTTTATTATTTTTTTTGTCAAGTCATATTTTCTAACGTGCACTAAGAAAATCAGCTCTCAATGACCTCATATTTGAATAGATTCTGCTCTTTCTTTTTCTTTTCTTCTCTATCACATTACAAAATCGGAAGACAAAATTACTCATTTACCAAACCACTTTTCAATTTACTGGTATGAAAATAAAATTTGGTTGAGATATCGTATAGCACAAAACTATTTTTAAAAAATATTTATTAAAACCAAAACTTTGTAAAAGTATGTTACTTACCACTTAATGTTTTAGATCTAATTGGAGGTAATCCCTTTTTCTGTCGTTCTTTTTCCCTTTCTCTGGCTCTCCTCTCACTTGAGTATGAACGTGATGATTTTCTTTTTCTCTCTCTTGAGCGGGAGCGTGATCGCTTTCTGTGTTTACGCTTTCGAGAACCAGACCGTGACCTAGACCTTCGTTTTCTTGGTGATCTATAAAAAAATTGTATTTTACTTCTACCTACGTTATCCTATCAAGTTTCTCAATTCTAAATGAGAGGAAAAAATAATATAAAAATTTTTATATTTAGCTACCTCTTAAAATATATTACATTGTAATCAAGTATCAAACATGCATTTTACTCAAATCTCTGTACTGCTTAGGTCCACATTACTCAGTGATTGCCACATTTTAACAGTTCACACACAGGTACTGTTAAATATTATTGCAGAACCTTGAACGAGATCGCGAATGTGTTCTTGATCTTGAGCGAACAGCCACTTTCTTAGCTTCTTGTTCAAAGATCTCCTCTTCTACGCCATCTTGCCCTTCATCTATATCCATATCCTTAAAGTCAAAAGAACAGCAAACAAACAAAAAGTCTGGTTGAGATTCAGTTATATGCTGGCAATTCTCCCTTAAAACGTATTCACGGATAGTAGCACGAATGCTTAACAGGTAAAAACAGAGTGTAGAGCTTACATGTCAGAAAAATAAATTCTGGACATCATCATTATACAATATTTTATGTGTACTCTCTAACTAATTTTAGAAATTTATGATCCAGAAAGGCGTTTACTTTTACCTGTTGCTGAATATCTATGGAATCATCCAAATTGGCCTCAGGTTCAAGAAAATGCTGTTGACTGCTCCCTTGTGATGGTGATGCTGAATGCTCAGACCCAAATGTTCCTTCTTGACTATCCTGAGGAGTGGCCTATTGAGAACATAAGGGAGATCATTAATTTTATTACAAATGAAAATTTAAACACAGCAAACATCACATGTCTTCAAAAGAGCCTAATACATAAAGAAATTCCATGTTAAATTATTTACAAACTAATAAATCGAAAATTGCACTTTTGGGGGAAGTTTTTGAAAATAAAATAAAATAAAATTGCACTTTTGTAAAAATCTAAGTCTACTTAAAAGCAGGTAACATCTCCATAAAAGGAGAAGAGGGTATATAAAATCAGAGTAGAATGGTAAGATCAAGTAGGTCTCCAAATAAACATTTAATTGTGGAAAATACAAACTACAGGATTTATAAAGGGATTATATCAGGAGCGATATAGTTAAATGAATCTAGAATTTAACTGATAATTAGATTTAAAATGCTATAAATGAAAAGCCCAATAAAATATTTTATATTAAAAAATAATATTACGTGTATAAAGGCAAAACAAAGTTCAAATGTAGGTATCAAAATCACTGATCTAGCAAAACCATTCTTAACGTGGGCCTTCCCCAAGTTCCCTCTCTAGGAATTCACAAAAATAACGGGAAGTACTTTGAGATATGAAAAATATTTTTTAAATTCTAATAAAAGTTAGGCAATAAAGCCTGATTATAGGAACACTTAAAATCTGAACATCCCCCAACCCCCGTGACAAAATCTACAGTAACTTGATATACTGACAATGCTTACTTGATGCTAATCAGTATGAACCTAATTTGTGATTATGATTAAATATTTAAAAATCAGAAAACTAATTACTATGGAGAAAAACATGACTTGGTAGATAAATCTCTTGAAACATAATCTTCCAGGTGTCTAGGATCTATAAAAGGAGTTCTGGGTGGTGCACCCACTGGTTATTAGAGTAATAATTGACAGAAAAAGCAACTAAAAACTACTGTTCCTTTGTTACAAACTCCGTGATGATAAACAAGTTAACTGAACTCTTGAGTTTCAGCTTCCCTAAAAGGATTACAGGTGTCTACCTACATTTTAGAACTGCTAAGGCAAGAAATAAGATCAATTTTTTTTCCCTCTTTTTTTGTCTTTTTTACTGACTGGTAACTCGTATAACTTCGTATAATG